ATCATATTTATATATAATTTCTAATGACTTACTTCAGGTGAGAATATCGCGGACAATGGAGGCCTGCGGCAGGCCTTCCATGCGTACCAGCGCTGGCTGAAAGAGCATCCCAGGGAGGTGCCGGACGAGATCCTGCCGGGACTGAACATGACAGGGCCGCAGCTGTTCTTCCTCAACTTTGGTCAGGTTTGGTGCGGAGCGATGCGGCCGGAGGCCATCCGGAACAAGCTGAACACGGCCATCCACAGTCCGGGTCGTTTCCGGGTTATTGGGACGCTCTCAAACTCCGTTGACTTTGCGCGGGAGTTCAATTGTCCCCTGGGATCACCGATGAATCCTGAGAAGAAGTGCAGCGTTTGGTAGTCGGAGAAAATCAAAGCAATAGCTCAAGAGTATTAAACGTGACGTGTGCCACGCATTCCTAGGCAAAAGACCGAAGGCAAGCCATTTGGTGAGTACCCGGAAGGCAGTGGAACCTCCATGTCGGGGCGCTCCACTAATTGCGCTCCACTTTGGGGGCCACTTAACGGAGAAAGTGGTGGTGTCTGGCGCAGCTTCCTTGTGGCTCGTTACCCATTTACCCCTAACTGTTGTGCCAACAACGGCATCACACTTCAATTGGGGCGCATACACTTAATTAATGGTGATTTATGCCCAGCAGTTGGCTCAGTTTCTTGCCCGGGGAGCAACTTCTCCAATTGTCTTTCCAATCAAACTGCAATTGATGCGAGCCACTTGGAATGCCTATGGGGTTGGAGTATCACTACTCTATATGCAGCTATAAATACGATCCGATAAGATTTTATCCATTTCAGGGATCAAGGGACGGAACACCCATTTGGTTATTTCTGGAGATTCGCCTTGGGTTTATGGCTTCCCCATCACAAGAAAGATAATGTGCCAAAAATTAACTTGCAATCTATATATTTTTCTTAGCCCTTAACTATTTATACTTGTAACTTGCAATTGTTTAGTTTATGATGCAATTTATGTTTGTGATAATTCTAATTAAATGTATATTATCAATAAATGGTGACTTTTAAATTAATGGCGATTGTTCAACACTGGAAGCTTTCAAGTTCAAAAAGAATATTTTGAAAAACTTTCGAGTGGAATTTTTAAAGCAATTATGAGTAGCTATTCAGTTGGGAACGTGCGCTCGGCGCCTAAGGAACTTCAAAGACATCGCGCTAGTGGGTGATCCAAAAATATACGTATATATTTAGATATACCCATTGTTAGAAACTAGAAAACCAGCGGAGGGAAATGAAAAACTGTAAATCCAAACTTCAATAATTAAGGCAATGCATTTCTGTTGGATATATCTGATTATTCTCAGCCTTGGTAAAGTGCAGGCACAGTTTTATGGGGGTAATGCTTACGAAGCATCCAGTGGTCAATCCATTCGCCTGGGTGAGTGAAACAGATCAAAGTGCTCAAGCGGAATTTTATGTTCACTCAAAATAATTCATATATATAGGCCTTATCACCGACGACGCCACCGATAGAATCCGGCAGACTTTCGAGCACGCCATATCGGTGGTAAACAATGAACTGGGTGTTCCTTTGGTCGGAGAAACCGAGCAGGTGGCTTACGGCAACTCCATTCAGGCCTTTTCCCAACTTTGTAGGCTAATGCAGGTGAGCTACTTGCAGTGGAAACCAAGAGGAATTCCCTTGGTTAACATTTGTCGAGTTCCAGAGTGGAGTGGGAGCCGTCTTTGGGCCAGCTGCCAGGCACACAGCCTCCCATCTTTTGAATGCCTGTGACTCGAAGGACATACCCTTCATATACCCGCATCTCTCCTGGGGACCCAACCCGGATGGCTTCAATCTGCATCCCAGTCCGGAGGACATAGGCAATGCGCTCTACGACATTATAAATAAGTTCGAGTGGTCCCGCTTTATATTCTGCTACGAATCCGGTTGGTGTTCCAAAGAATCCGCCTTGACTCCTAACTAATTATTGGTTCTGCACTAAAGCTGAGTACCTGAAAATTTTGGATCACCTAATGACCCGATACGGCATCAAAGGACCTGTCATAAAATTGATGCGCTACGATCTTAACTTGAATGGCAATTACAAGTCGGTGCTCAGACGCATTAGGAAGTCGGAGGACAGCCGAATCGTGGTCGTGGGTTCAACAGCGGGCGTGGCGGAGCTACTGCGTCAAGCCCAACAGGTGGGCATCATGAACGAGGACTACACATACATCATTGGCAACCTTAACTTGCACACCTTCGACCTGGAGGAGTACAAGTACAGTGAGGCCAACATCACAGGTATACGAATGTTCTCACCTGATCAGGAGGAAGTACGAGATCTGATGGAAAAGCTGCACCAAGAACTGGGGGAGAGTGAACCCGTAAACAGTGGTATTACAATGTGATTTTATATACATAATTTGAAGCTATTTTCTGTGAAATTCTGTTTGAGGTTCTACATTCATCACCATGGACATGGCTCTTACCTATGATGCGGTACGTGTCATTGGGGAGACAACAAAACATCTTCCCTACCAACCTCAGATGCTAAACTGTTCCGAGCGCCACGACAATGTTCAACCCGATGGTTCCACTTTCAGAAACTACATGAGATCGGTTAGTAAGTCTTAGCAACCATCAATACATTTACTAAATACATAAAACTCAAACAGTTGGAGATCACAGAGAAAACGATCACAGGTCGCATATATTTCGAGGGAAATATTCGCAAGGGTTTCACCTTCGACGTCATCGAACTGCAAACCAGTGGATTGGTCAAGGTTGGCACTTGGGAGGAGGGCAAGAACTTTGAGTTCCAAAGGCCTCCTCAAGCTGTTAGCTTTAATGACATTGACGATGGTTCTCTGGTCAACAAAACCTTCATCGTTCTTATATCTGTGGCGGTACACTATAAATATTTTCATAGCTTTCTAGTTGTTTATCGCTTGACCGTTGGAAATTTCAATTACAGACCCAGCCGTACGCCAGTCTGGTAGAAAGTATTGACACCCTAATAGGCAACAATCAGTTCCAGGGCTATGGAGTGGATCTAATCAAAGAGTTGGCCGACAAGCTGGGCTTTAACTTCACATTCCGCGATGGTGGCAATGACTATGGCTCCTTCAATAAGAGCACGAATTCCACGTCAGGAATGCTCAAGGAAATTGTCGAAGGAGTATGTATCAAATCGAATTAAATGTATCAACCGAATTATTGATCAAAAATGAAATTTAATTGCAGAGAGCTGATTTGGCCATCACTGACCTTACCATAACATCGGAGCGAGAGGAAGTCATCGATTTCTCCATACCATTCATGAACTTGGGTGATGCTTTTGAGTTGGAATGCTAATTCCATATTCTGACTATATGATTTTGATTAGCAGGCATAGCGATTTTGTATGTAAAACCTCAGAAGGCTCCACCCGCTCTTTTCTCCTTCATGGACCCGTTTTCTTCGGAGGTGTGGCTTTACTTGGGCATTGCCTATCTGGGAGTATCGCTCTGCTTCTTTATTATAGGCCGACTTTCGCCCATCGAGTGGGATAATCCGTATCCATGTATTGAAGAGCCTGAAGAGCTGGAAAACCAATTTACTATCAATAACTCACTTTGGTTCACAACGGGGGCTTTACTCCAGCAAGGTTCTGAAATTGCACCCAAGTAAGAGAAACCATCACTGTACAGTAACTTTATTAGCATCAATATTTTTACAGAGCTCTCAGCACACGAACAATATCTGCGATTTGGTGGTTTTTCACTTTGATTATGGTGTCTTCCTACACCGCAAATTTGGCTGCCTTCTTGACCATCGAGTATCCCACTAGTCCCATCAACAGCGTTAAAGATTTGGCCGATAACAAGGACGACGTTCAGTATGGAGCTAAACGCACAGGATCTACACGAAATTTCTTTTCGGTAAGCAAAGTGATAAAGTCAAGCTCGAGGGTCAACAATATTTATTTAATACAAAGACGTCAGAGGAACCCATCTATATTAAAATGAACGAGTACTTGAACGCTCATCCGGAGATGCTAATGGAAAACAATCAGCAAGGCGTGGACAAGGTGAAGTCTGGCACCAAGTACGCTTATCTCATGGAATCCACCTCAATTGAATTTAACACGGTTAGGGAGTGCAACCTGACAAAGGTGGGAGATCCGCTGGATGAGAAGGGCTACGGGATAGCGATGGTGAAAAGTGGGTATCGTAATCAATGAGCCAGGCGTTCTAATCTGGCGTACTAACTGCCTCCGACAGATTGGCCCTATCGCGATAAGTTCAATAAGGCTCTGCTGGAACTGCAGGAACAAGGTGTTTTGGCCAGGTTGAAGAACAAATGGTGGAACGAAGTCGGAGCCGGTGTTTGCAGTGTATGTGATTTGTGGGCTGTGGACGGATGATGATCCCATAATAAAACTGTTGTTGCAGGCAAAAAGCGAAAATAATGGGCCTTCGGAGTTGGGCGTGGACAATCTGAGTGGCATCTACGTTGTCTTGATCATCGGATCCATAATCTCCATGATTATCTCCATTCTATGTTGGTGCTTCTTTGTCTACAAGAAAGCTAAAAACTATGAGGTGCAGTTGACTTTTAACCTCCCAAAGGAGCTTTAAAAAATATAATTTATTTTTCAGGTACCGTTTTGCGATGCCTTGGCTGAGGAATTTAAAATTGTCATCCGCTTTTCGGAAAATGAAAGGCCTCTAAAAAGCGCCCAATCCATATACTCTCGTAGTCGGAATTCATCTCAGTCCATAGAGTCCCTAAAGACAGATTCTGAGGAAAATATGCCGGCTGAGGATTAAATTTGAGATATTATTTGGCTCTCCAAAGTTTCGAAAAAGCTCTTGATAATTTCACTCAAATGTTTTCCAAATTGACATTTTGGAAGCAAAAGTCAGTTTTCGTTTTTCCCTCGAAGTGTTCAGTTCGATAAGCAGAAGAATTTATTTCGCCTAATGTCTAATATATGCATATATAAATATATATGTTTAAAATAAAAACCATATAAAATGTTTTGCAACCATTTTGTAATTTTGTCGACCATTATTAGCATTAAGATTTCAGTAAACAAGGCTCAGTATGAGAACATTGGCGGATACGATAACTACCAAAGTTTGGGGAGTGTCCCAATAGGTAAGTAATTTCGAGAAGAATAAAACTCAGCCCAAAAATAACTCATTTGAGAAATGTGTGTCGCGTGAGTTTTTTCGTCGTGCAGTTCCAAACAAACTGTTTTCAACGCGCGATTTATTTTTAATTTCTCATAAAGAGAACACGCTGTTCGTTCCATCAACGCTGAAAGCTCGTAAAAACGGTTTTAGTATTTGTTTGTTTGTTTGGGTTTTCCGACTGAATGGGACGATTAGGTCAAGTTGTTGTTTATAAACAAACCGGCAAAAGAGAAATAGCCAAAAGTGGATGAGAGACACTTTCTCGGTTTCAGGTCTGCTCACCGACCAGAACACGGAGCAGATGAACATAGTCTTCGACCATGCCATCGATGTCGCCAACCAGGAAGTGGGCACCACCTTGACGGCGCTCAAGGAGGAGGTTAACTACGGGGATGCGTACCAGAGCTACGGCAAGCTGTGCAGGATGCTGGAGGTAAGTATTAGCTTAATAGTTAATAATTTAAACAATTTCACAATGCTCGCAATTTTATCTTTTTTTATTATTATTATTATATGAGGGAAAGCTGTATTTAATTCCTCGACTATCAGATACCCGTCACTTACGTAGTGGGAGGGCGATGAAGTTCGACCTTTACTGGGTATTCACCTGTCTTCAAAAATCTTTTATAATTTGCTGTTTGTCAATAAACAACTATTTACTCGGTTCGCTCCCAATTAAAAAATTTTAAGAATACGTTTTTTTAACACTCACATTCAGACAGGCATCGCTGGAGTGTTTGGACCCTCGTCTCGGCACACTGCCGTCCACCTGATGTCCATATGCGACGCCATGGATATACCCCACATCTACTCCTACATGAGCGAAAACGCAGAGGGATTCAATCTGCATCCGCATCCGGCTGACCTGGCCAAAGCCCTATACAGCCTAATCACGAACTTCAATTGGACCCGCTTCATTTTCCTATACGAGTCGGGTGAGCTGCTGATGAAATGTAATAGATTCCAAAATGATTTCCAATCGACTTGCAGCCGAGTATCTAAACATTTTGAACGAGCTAACCACGATGCTGGGGAAGAGTGGAACTGTGATCACGGTGCTGCGATACGACATGCAGTTGAATGGCAATTACAAACAGGTCCTCCGGCGGGTTCGAAAGTCCGCGGATAATCGAATTGTGGTCGTGGGCTCCAGCGAAACGATGCCAGAGTTCCTAAACCAGGCGCAACAAGTGGGCATCATCAACGAGGATTACAAGTACATAATCGGTAACCTGGACTTTCACTCGTTCGATTTGGAGGAGTACAAGTACAGTGAGGCCAATATAACCGGGCTGCGTTTATTTTCTCCGGAAAAAATGGCCGTCAAGGAACTGCTTATGAAGTTGGGTTACCCCACCGATCAGGATGAGTTCAGGAATGGTAATCAATATTTGTTAGGCTTCAAAATTCAAATAATAAAGTAATTTGTTTTTTCCTGTAAGGTTCTTGTCCCATAACCGTGGAAATGGCCCTAACCTACGATGCCGTCCAGTTGTTTGCAGAGACACTAAAGCACCTTCCCTTCAAGCCGGTGCCCCAAAATTGCTCGCAAAGAACAGAAAGCGTCCGAGATGATGGTTCCTCCTTCAAGAATTATATGCGAACTGTAAATAGAAAGGGGAGAAACCCTTAAAACTCACTTATTTTACTTTTGACGGTTACAGCTGCGCCTCACGGATCGCCTGCTTACGGGACCCATCTACTTCGAAGGAAACGTCCGCAAGGGGTACCACCTGGATGTCATCGAACTGCAGCCGTCGGGCATCGTAAAGGTGGGCACATGGGACGAGGATAGGCAGTATAGACCACAGCGACTGGCACCCACCACCGCTGAATTCGATAGCGTTGACAATTCGCTGGCCAATAAGACCTTTATTATCTTGCTCTCGGTTCCGGTAGGTGGAAGTACGATTCGAGCTGCTTTAATCATCTAAAAACATGCTGAAATACCACATTTCAGAACAAACCATATGCCCAACTGGTGGAGACCTACAAGCAGCTGGAGGGCAATAGCCAGTATGAGGGATACGGCGTGGATCTAATCAAAGAACTGGCCGATAAGCTGGGCTTTAACTTTACATTTGTAAACGGCGGCAATGATTATGGATCGTACAACAAATCGACCAATGAATCCACGGGCATGCTGAGGGAGATAATGACTGGGGTGGGAGATTTTATTATAATCTTTTAACCCGTTATTAAGTCAATATTCTTACAGCGAGCTGACCTGGCTATCACGGATTTGACCATTACCTCTGAGCGTGAACAGGCCTTAGACTTTACCATTCCCTTTATGAATTTGGGCATGTCACATAGTACCTCACTTAAAAGAAGTTATATAATGCACACATTCCTTTTAGGCATCGCAATTCTCTATTTGAAGCCCCAGAAAGCCACACCTGAACTGTTTACCTTCATGGACCCGTTTTCGGAGGAAGTCTGGTGGTTCCTAGGATTTTCCTTTTTGGGCGTATCCTTGAGCTTCTTCATATTGGGTCGTCTGTCGCCAAGCGAATGGGATAACCCATATCCTTGTATTGAGGAGCCAGAAGAACTGGAAAACCAGTTTACAATTGGCAACTCGATATGGTTTACAACTGGAGCGCTGCTTCAGCAGGGTTCTGAAATAGGTCCCAAGTATGCACATTATTCCGAGCATAGATAATTATTTATGTACGTATGTCTTCTTTAGAGCTTTATCCACTCGAACTGTAGCCAGTTTCTGGTGGTTCTTTACCCTGATTGTGGTTTCTTCTTACACCGCCAATTTGGCTGCCTTTTTGACCATTGAAAATCCGCAAAGTTTAATCAACAGCGTAGACGATCTGGCAGATAACAAGGATGGTGTGGTGTACGGTGCAAAAAAAACTGGGTCCACCAGAAACTTCTTTATGGTATTTCCAAAAATATTTTTATCTTAACGGCCTACAATGATTTATACACTCCATAGACCTCTGCGGAAGAGCGATATAAGAAGATGAATAAATTCATGACCGAAAATCCCCAATATCTCACAGAAGACAACATGGAGGGAGTAAATCGAGTTAAGACCAACACACACTATGCGTTTCTGATGGAATCCACTTCTATTGAGTATAATACCAAGCGTGAATGCAATCTTAAAAAGATTGGAGATGCATTAGACGAGAAAGGCTATGGAATAGCCATGAGGAAGAGTACGTACGAGTATTGTATCTTCAAAATATAACATTTAACTTTATATCTTGATAAATTTGAATTTAGATTGGCCGCATCGCGGCAAGTTCAATAATGCCCTCCTGGAACTGCAGGAACAGGGAGTGCTGGAAAAAATGAAGAATAAGTGGTGGAACGAGGTTGGCACCGGAATTTGCGCCACCAAAAAAGAGGCTCCTGATGCGACACCTTTGGATATGAATAACCTGGAGGGAGTTTTTTTCGTACTCCTCGTCGGAAGTTGCTGCGCCCTGCTTTACGGGATTATCAGCTGGGTTTTGTTTGTGATGAAGAAAGCTCATCACTATCGAGTGGGTTGACATCTTCCGCACGGTAGCAACCGTAGTTATTATCTATAATTTCCAGGTTCCGCTGCGCGACGCTCTCAAGGAGGAGTTTCAGTTCGTTATTGATTTCAATAATTATGTACGGGTATTGAAAAACTCCGCTTCCATCTACTCGCGCAGTCGTCAATCATCGATGTCAGTAGCTTCTGTGGCCCAGGAATCACAGTAGAGAGAAATCCCTTTCGAATGCCGATGGGAAAAGGGATTGTTCTACATGCCTGCCGTTTCTAAACATCATTATGTATAACCTGCTTTTAGAACTTTTTAAACAGATTGAAAACAATTCTAATTTTCGATGCAAGTGTTTATTACAAGATTTAAATATTTCTTAAGCTGATCTGCGGAATGTAAAATATTTGGTTCAGTTACAAATCAATAAGCAAGGAAATAAAAAAACTTCTTCAAAATATTTGCACTTCGTGCTCAAAATATTAATTATTTAAGAATACTACAATAAATTGTAGAACTGACAAAGTATATGAGCTGCGTAACATTTTCAGATAAATAAATAAAAATAATAAAAATGCTATAATAATGACATATAAAATTCCAAAGGAAAGCACCTCCATTTGTCAAATATAGTAAAAAATCGGCAATAATTTGACATTACATTTGACAGGAAACAAATAATCCCCAGCGAATATTCCTCATATGTATCTAGCACCTTCTTAACAAGTTTGTGAATGGATTATTAAATACGTCAACAAATATCGAATGAGATCGAATTTAGGTCCAGTGCTTGGCGCGCCACAACAGGCAATGAATGTGATTATCCACATCCGCCGGTGGCACGGATTTGGCTACCCCATGTGTAGGTGTGCTAACGGCAGAGCTCTTGGTGGATGACTCTGCGGAGTCCACGTAGCGTGAGATTAGAGAGCGATATCGTCTTCCGATCGTGGCGATCAGGGGAACATTGTCTTTAGAAAGGGTTATTATAGATTTTATCTGTAAGAGAATTGAATTTCAGTATCCACATATTAAACGAACAATTCGCCATTCTTACCTCATTTTCATAAGGTCGGAAAACACTAATAGGGCGCAGAGTGTGCAATTCGGCTACGATTAAGCAGCCCCAGGTCGTCCCAATATACAGTTCTGAATTGTGAGCAGCCAGGGCCGATATCTGGCATTTTATAAGGTTCACATGTTCATCAATCGCAATACTTTGCAGAGACTCGGAGCAGGGGAGCAGCTTTGAGCAGTCCAGCTTGTTTTCAATCCGTTTGGAGATAACACCCCACTGGTACACCATACAACCGGGATATAGACAACTGAAGACATGACTGTCATTGCTGCACATTCGAGCCACCTTGACGTCCTCGATGAGATTGGGTTCCTCGCTGTGGCATAAAGCCTGATGTCCGGACACTCCGTTCTCGTTTAACGGAAATACATTTATCTTTCCCGCAATTTCGCCGCACCATAATTCATAGATTCTATAAAAAGCACACTTCAGATTTAAAAACATATTTTGTTTTAGATTTGTCAGCTTACCCATCCACAAGAACGGAACAAGCGGCGTGCAACACGAAACCAGAACAGATCTCCGTAAGCACAAAGGAGCCCTCGGCAAATGCGCAATTGCTGGGCATCTGCGTGGCGTCAACCAGGAACACCCGACCATTATGCGTGCCGACGGCTACGCGAGCTATTTTCTGCATGTAAACTAGACTGATCACAGCTGACTTGATGTTTGGATCCAGCATGTACGAAAATAAGTGGGCATAGCTCGATGTGCTATAGGCGTGCAGATTACCGGAAACGTCGCCCATCCAGATGGCGTCACCTACCAGGCAGCAGCACAGCATGTTCATCTTGGGCAAGCGTTGGGCCGATCTGGCACGTGAATTAGCACCATTTTCGGGTGTCTTGGGCGGAGCAACCTGTGGCTGCGGAGAGCAACTGATGCTGTTGCACTGCTGTAGGCTGCCCGAAGGTGCGCAGTCCAGAATATCGATGCGAGAACCGAAGGACGGTAGCCACAGCTCTAGCCCACATCGCTCATCATCGCCCATACCGACAAGGGACTGAAAAACCCCACAAACAATCTTCTCACTATGCGGCATGGCAACAACATCCAGCAGGTGGATGCACTCCGGTGCACTTAGTATGGAAACAATCTGACTTGCCGTCGGTCTGCGACGAGGCTGTTCGTGCCAACACAAGACCATAAGATCCAAACAGCAGGTTGGAAACTGGGTTTCCCTTTGAGTCAGAGCCGGACGACTACCCTCCAAGATGCACTCTTTAATAGACTCGTGGCCCTCGAAAGGTTGTCGCAAACTGATATTCTCGTATATGAACATTCCAAATGAGAAGCAGTCCACCTGACATTAAAGCTTCGATAAAACACATGATTTAATAAAGTAAAACAAACATACCTTCTCAGTATATTCCTCTTCACCATTGTATCGTATGATCTCGGGAGCCATGAAACCCTCAGTGCCGCCAAATCCTTTAGCTCCACTTGGAGCGGTTTGCCTGCTGATTCCGTAGTCGGCTATTTTTATGTGCACATGGTTGCGGGGACTGTCTTCAGTGTGAGGTTGTGGGAGCTCCCAAACCAGGACATTTTCAGACTTTAGATCGCGGTAGATGATTCTCCTGCGATGCAAATATTCGATTGCTCGTGCCGCCTGCAGAACAAGGGTCTGGAAAGTATGCGGACCCAAGTGGGCTCCACTGCGTCGGTAATGTCGGAGCAAAGCGTCGAGACCGCCTAGAGGAGCTAGTTCCAGAACGAGAGCTAATGGTTTAATGCAGATCCCCACCAAAGGTACAATATTTGGATGCTTGAGTGTTAGTAGTACTGCTAGTTCCTGACGGGCAGTGCAGTAGGCTTTGCAAGAGTGCTGAAGTGGATCCCTATCCCATTTGCCGACAGCTACCTTAAAAGCCATCAAAGCGCTCTAAAATTAAAGTTAAAAGGAATAATGACCATAATTTTCAGTACATTAACTTGTCGCACTCACCTCCTTCGCCCGAGCTCCGGGAGGTACTGGCTGAAGCATTTTCATTGCTACCGGCTTAAAGGACCTGGCGCCCCTTACCTTGCAATTTGCTTTAAAAACGAATCCAAAAGCGCCTCGACCAAGGAGCGATCCCTTGATGATGCACTCGCTGGGAATAGTGTGCTTATCTGGAATATCGGCAAAGATGACGTCTGGCGCAAGCTGCACCATAGACTGTTCAAGATGAACAGGGCAACTGATCTTGCTTTGATTATAAACGGACAAAATGCACTCTTCAATCATCCAGGCATAACACACATTTGAGTTATCAGGCAAGTGATAGCCGGGATGACCATCCACTGAAGTGTTGCGCGAAGAATCAGCTGAGTCGGGACCTACGCCCGAGTCCGCGTCCGATCCAGCTCCCAGAGAATCCTCCGATCGGCGCTCCCTCCTCGCTGTGGCGTTTAAATATGCCGAGAACACGTTTAAAGCACCATCCTCCCCAGGATCACCTACACCGTGCAGAAAGTATGCTCCCGCTCCACGCCTAATACTTCGACTTGGTCGATTGCAACCCACTGAAGGCACCTCCCGATCAGACGGTTCGTTGTTCTGCTGCAGCTGCAACTTCCAAAGACAGCGCGGACACAACACCAATCGAGTGATTAGGAATCGACCCTCCGAAGTGTGCACAAACCGCGTTCCCAAGGACGGATACCAGTCCTCCAAAAGCAAGTCAATATGATCCACTGTTAGGGCCAAAAGCTTGGCCACCTGAGACATGTGTGGCCGAATCTCGGCCAGCAACTGACGTTCATTGTCATCCACTTCTTGCGATATGTTTACTTCATAGAGCGGAAAGTAAACTTCCAGAATGCTAGAGGAGCTGAGACTTACATCGCTCCAGATACCATCTTGTTTCAGCTTAAACCGGTTACCATCAGTGCGGAATGGTTGTGTTCGCTCTGTCTTCTGAAAGGGTACTTCCCAGATCTTGAATATTAAGATGGGTCCATAGTACAGTGCTAAACCTGTCTGCCAAAGATTCCACTGGGTGTCCTGCTCCAACGATGTGCGTATATCAAAGTCCGCGTACTTCTGGAAAATAAAGATTGGACCTACAACTTGCATGTGATATACAATTTTCCACTTACATCTTCCGAAGCCACATAAACGCCCCGAATTGCTTCGATTATCTGTTCATCAGCTAAAATCCGGGTGATTAATCTTGACCAAAACCCGGATGGGAAATAAGTCATCAAAAGAATGCGTCGCAAGCCTTGGCTAGCCGATGCAGAAGATGATGAGGAAGGAGTTGACCTCTGCTCGTATATCAAATTATTAAGATTCACTTCTTGCGATACAGAGCAACCCAAACTACGGCCGCGACAGCGTTGCGATAGCTTGACTGTGCTTCCTAAATTGGGTGTTGCTGCCTCCTGCGAAGGCAATAAGGAGGGTATGAGTAGCGTTCTCGAGTCCCACGTTAGAGCAACCTCGAACTTGTTAAGTAGGCTGACAATGTAGCTTAAAGAAAGTAATTTTAATTAATACAAAGAAATTTAACCACATTAATAAGTGAAACAAAACAACTAAAGAAATTGTTGTGCAAATCCAGTTAAAGATATATTTACCTTCGGTTTCCATTACCTTGAACCTGCACACTGCGAAACAACATCTGGAGATCATCCAACTTCATCACTCCTGTGGGAGCAAAAGGATTGATCTCACGCACGGTGACCACATGGGCCAGCATGTCACAAAGCCACTGCGGATCAAGAAAGTAGTAGTCCCTCAGCGTAGCATCGTCATAGTGCAATAAAATTCCATTTTCGTGGCACCATGTTGTGGCCTGCTGCAACTCTGCGGCATCCCGAAAGCTCTTGTAGTTGTGCAATCGCATCTGTTCGGTGACCAAGCGCCTGTATTGTTCACCATCCAAGACGGGATCTCGTCCAGCAGCGCGCAGATTGCATGCAATCACATTCACAATATCCTCCAAGGCAATGTAGCTGGCGGGAATCTTTTGCAGTAGCATGGGCTCCTTGGAACCGGGGGACCTCAGTTGAATGGCGGTGTCGTAAATAATGTTGGCCAATAAATGGATATTGTGAAGGGTCCTAAAATTAAAAGCGGTATTTTTTAGATTTTGAAGTCATATTAATAATTAAAAACAAGATAGAGTGCTATAGTCGAGTTCCCCGACTATCAGATACCCGTTACTCAGTTAGTGGAAGAGAAATTTCAACATTTTTTGAATATTTGGAAATTGGAAAAAAAAAAAAGTAAAAAAAATACAAAAAAAATAAATTTATAAATTTTAATTCAGATTTTTAGAGAATTGCGCCAGAAATAGTTTTGGGGGGATTGTGGGCGTTGGATTGGGCGTGGCAAAAAGTTTTTTGGCAAATCTATAGATATTTAGAAAATATATTAAAAAATTAAAAAATCT